AGAGCTGCCGGCTCAGAATGCAGGGCGGAGCTCCTCTACAGCTGCTCCGGAGTCCAGCCCGGGACTTTCCTGCAGCCCTCCCAGCCGCTCGCTCTGCTCTGCCGGGGGAGGGGGGAAATCCCGGACATTTAGAGTGCTTTACAAATTCCCCCCGGACGCTATTTTTAGCACAAAAAGGAGGACATGTCCGGGTAAATCCGGACGAATGGTAACCCTAAACTAATAGTCTCTTCACAAGCAACCTGTCTGCCCTGAATCCCAGGTGTAACAAGCAATCCCTTAACCAGGCCACATCTCCTCTAACTCCAGCTGAAGCTGTCCTGCGTCACTCTACCCAGCTCTTGGTTTTCATTTTAAAGCTAGCTGCAGGAAATGGAAATGAATGACACCCACTCCGCTTAACCTCCGTTTTGCACCTCTAAGAGATGCTGCTATCCATCTGATACGCCAGAGCATGTACTCTACCCTATAAAGTGGCTTTGACTAACCTGAGCACAACTCTAAGCTGGTTAGAAATGGCTTTTTGCAGAAATAGAAAAAACTGAGCTGGCATCCTTCAGTCTTGAGACTAGGGCGATGTCAGATTTACCCCCTCCCCGGAGATAAAAGAGCTGGAAATCACTGAGTGGGTTTGAAGAGTGGCTTCTCCTCCCTCAGCCTCTCTCTTCCACCAGCACCTACATGGGAAATAGCCATCACCTTCCCACAGCACTGAGACAGCATTCAACCCAGAACTGAGCAAGGGATGCTTCCCTAATATTTCCCCAAAGGATCTCAATTCAAGGCATTTCACACACCCCAAAGGGTCAGGAAAGGAGGGAGCAGAGCAGCAGGTGAACTGTAATACATTACTTGGCATATGGCGCATGCAGCATAGAATAGACCTGGCTTTGATGTTGAAATCCCTTTCTCCATCCTGTAATCCCTGATTAACGAGGTGAACCACTTCATCCGGAGTGAGGTCGCCCCTGCGGGGAGAAAACTTCGAAGTTAGCTAGCAAGCTCGTGAGATTCGGCACCCCAGCAATCCCAGAGGAAGAGAAACTGCTTCCCGAACGGTAACATCACTGAGCTGCTTGTATTATTGCTGTGGGCTGTTAAATACAGGAGAATCCAAACACTGCCCAACCAATGTGACCACACTGGCAAAATGCCAGAAAGCTAAGGGCCACATTTAGATCAAAAAAGGAGTATACTGCAGCCACCCCCATGTTGAACACTGGACCAGCCCCCTCAGAGCAAGAGGGAGCATGGTCTGCCAGGAACTGTAGTTTCAGGGCCAGATTTACAAAGGTATTTAGGCACCTAGTAGCATTTACAGACGTGTCTAAGCAGGTTAGGCCTCCGACTCCCTTAGGCTCATCTGTGAATCTCCGTTTGCGCCTATGTGCAGCACTAGCCTCCTTTGTAACTGAGGTCCTCAGTGACCACATCTGTTTGGAGGATGAGGGAGGCGGCACTGCTGAGCTGCATGGGATGCATGTTGGCCAGAGAGACACTTCCACAAACCCCGTGATAGATCACTGTATTTCTTTAAGTAAATGAACCGGTTTGCCAGCTAGGGAAGAGGAACTTTTTTCTTTTCTCTTTTTTGGCCAGAAAGTCTTATTAAGATGCAGAGCTTTGCACTATCCTGGCAGCAGTGAGCGGAGTGACACAAAAAGCAGCAGAAGCCTCACAGCACGTTTTCTGAGAAATCCCAGAGGTCTCCTTGCAAAGCTCGGTGCTGGTTTAATTGGCGACACACTGTTCTAAAGACCACAGATGACACAGAAACATAGACTGAGAGCTACAAGGGCTGCTCCCAAAGGCTCAGCCCACTAACTTTGCTGGTAGAAAAATGTTACATTTTGGATGGGGGGTTGGGGTGGGGATGTGTATCTGAACTCTGGTGACTTCTTGAAGAGGGAGCAGCTTAAGCCGAAAATCTAACAGCTGTTTCCCACACAGACAAGACAATGCCCCTGGGGCAAGTTGTCCTCAGAAGAGTGCAACAGATGGAACGGTTACCAGAGGAAGAACATTTTTAGGGAGGGAAGGAAAAGCGTATACATGACTATTACTGCATTCCAGCTAGAAATAAAAGGTGTGCTGCCTCACTCTGGTCCTACATAAACAGGGATTGGATTATACATCAATTATCTGACACCAGTGCTAGACTTCTCCTTGCCTGAGCTGAAAACAACAGTGGGACCTCGCTGGTTTGTACGGGTGGGGAGATTCATTGCAAGTTTCAGTGAACTCAGTGATTTACCAAGTGGTGAATGAACAAATTAAAAAAAAAAAAAAAAAAAAGAAAGAACTGCATCTCAAAATGTACTTGGTTCATTTACTTTGCCTACAGCAGTTTAGTTTGCAATCCTCAATAGTTAGCGTGCTGCAGCATGTTCTGGAAAAAGATAACTGAGACTTCACTACAGCACTCTGCTATTAAACCTTTGAGGAAGTGGGAAGGCACGAGAAGGAGGGGTTAGTAAAGCACAGATGAAACAGCTTCTAGTATACCATCTTTGTTAAGGCATATGCATGTAACCTAACTTGTGCTTTCCAATGCACCCATATGGATTCAGCTCTACATTTTGTTTAAAAGCATAACTGCACATATGAAGTGTGCATAATTGCACACACTAATTTCTATGCACAATTATCAAAATTGTGCTTGCTCACTGGGTAATTACCAGCAAGTGTGTCTAATTAGTTAGGTGCCTATACAACTACTGTAATTGCACATGTAAATTAGGCACACAATTATGCATCTAAAACAATGAAAATCTGGCTCTCAAGTTATAAATCCTCCTTCTTGTCTGCCGGGAGCAAAACTGTGTTCTCCATTTGCTGGTCAGGGGCTTTCATGGTTCACGCAGATCTCAGTGTGTTATGTTGGCACAGTCTTACACTTAATGGATTCACTCACTCTTCTTGGTCCCATGGAACAGGCTGAACTTTGCAGTTGGCTAGGAGGTGAGGGCTGTACCTGACCTCAACATAGATGACACCTTCTTTTGCTTTCATTTCTACAAACTCATAGGCTATTCTTCTCACAGCATCACGGTCCCCCCTGTAAAGAAAAGAACAGGATTAGTCTGATTTATGAGTTCTCAGAAATCTATGGGCTGCTGATCAACAAGACTGGGGAGAGTGGATATGCTGTGGGTCTGAAGACCATACATGCCCCAAATTGGCAATTCTAGCTTGCAGGTGCCTGAGACCGATGAGAAGCTTACAGCAGTTACCAGGGAATAAGTTACTTACGCAATGGCAGGCATGTAGAAAGAAAACTTTTCTAGAAACTGGGTGAGAGTGAGTGGCTCCGTGTAACTGATATGCTGCAAGAGGTCTTCAACAGTGTCACCAGGAAGCGGAATTCCTCTTTTCCTAGAAATCGATACACATTTCACTGACAAGGATTTGGGTTACACCTTTATTTAGAAACATAGTCCATACTGCTGAACCTTGTTTGAGTCTATTTCTCCACAGAACAGATATAACACAGAAAAAAAGGTACCTCAGTCTTTTCAAAAATGCCTTACATATGTGCCTCAGGAGTCCCACCCGGATAAGAGAGGACTCTGATTTCTATCACCAATAACAGACCCAGAACTATCCAAAGAAACTGAGCCAAACAGAACCTTTCTTTTCCTGGTGCCTTGGTACTTCCTAGTCCTGGAAGCATAAATGACAAATTATCTCAAGAAAGAAATTTCCAGCCCCTATTATATAGACTCAAGAGCTGCCAAACATTGGACTGCTTATCTGAACTGAGTCACTGAACCGTCTCAGGTTTGCCGGTTGCTAGTCTCCAAGAACCAGTCAATCCTTGACCTTTCTGCCGAGGCTGCCAACAATAGAGAACAATTGTGATGTGGTTTCTCTGATATGGAAATCTTTACACTGTGAACCAAGGCTGACACCCAACAAAGCCCCTTCACTGAGAAGCCACCAAAGAGCTTCCAGATAGGAAAGCCCATCCATTGCTACCAAAAGTGGGTGGTCTCTGAGCTTGTGGGCTGGAGGGGAAAGGCTCCAGATCTCATTACCGAGGGCTTGGCCTTCTCCAGTTCCAGCAGCCAACTACATAAGCTATCTCCAGGAAAACAGCCTGACTGATATTGCTCCTCTGCTCAATGTACACACTCGTTTTATTGCTCTGTGGTGTAGGAAATCTATGCTATGTTCAGAGTTCAAAAGCAAAGGTAATTACTACAGATTACCCTGGCACTCAGCATGTGTCATTCATTACTGTTAAGTAATGCTCTTTCCACGTTGCCCTTTCCACTCTGATAACACGTTTGTCCAGTTTAAATGACAGACATCTCCATGCCATGCCCTACATTGAACACTGCCTTCCTGAGCCCATGAACAGGCCCTTATCCTATCCTCATTCAAATCCTTCCTGAAGGCCTATCTCTGTCTATGGTACACTTAACTACAGTGGGCTGGATGCAGGGTAATTTGGGATCGTCTACACATATAAAGATATAAGACTTAGACACACTAGACTGTGTGGAAGTCAACATATGCACCATAAAAGGTGGATGAGTGCAGTCAAGACTGACAGAATTCAAACCTGTGCTTTTAGGGCGCCTAGGCAGGGATTGCAAACACAAGCTTTAGAGCACCAATGTAGAGTCTCTTTCTCATGTCACTACAACATTGCGTTATTTGGATGTAGTCTATCACCACCCAGCAACTTTATTTGTTTGTTGTTTGATCTGTACCAAGCAGTTTTCGTGTCATGATCACAAGCAGCAATCTATGCTTGGGGCCAGATTTTCAAAGCAGACTCCTAAACTGCCCCCATAAAATGCTGCCTCTGCACAAAAACCAGCATGTGTTTTTGCTCTACCCTGAACTGAGCGCTATATGCTGGGAGGCTCCAACTTTATAGTAGATATGAAAACAGCTCCAGTCACTTCCATTTTATACAAGCGTGGGGTAGCCCTGGCTCCTGCCAAGTTGCAAGCACAGTTCCTTCAGGTGGGTGAAGTATGGACACTCCCGTCTACAAGAGTCCCCAAGGTAACCATACAACCCGATCACCCTACTTGCCATAAGGAAGTAGAAGAGCTCCAGGGAGTTAGATGTGTCAATGAATCCCTCACACATTAGGATACCTATCCATACACTGAAATCTTTAACCCACTCCTTTGTTCCTACGATATGTATAGATGGGTGAAATCAAGGGCAATTCTTACACAACATACCAAAGGGGCTCCAGCAATTAATGAGCTGGATTTTCTTGATGCACCTTCTGAATATTTATCTTGGCTGCATCGCAGAACCTATTGCCAGTTCAGAAGGCACCTTAGCCATGGCCTGAGAAGTAATTTTTTTCCCACACAAATATTTTATCAAATTCTCCAATCCATCCATCTTAGATGATGCCACTTCTGTTCCATTTTTACTGGAAATTGCTTTCATGGCTAAAGCCCCCTCAACTATGTTGAAGTGTTATTTGTTGGGACATGGGAAAGAACCTGCAAAAGCAGGTTGTTAGATTCAACCTAATCATGATGTTCTTGATAAAGGGATTTCTGCCATACTTAAGAAATCTGGCATTGTTTGCCAATGTCCTTTACCTTTAAATAAACTTTCACACTTGAAGTTTCATGTTTATCTTGTTTAAAATTATAGAGCCAGGTACTCAAGTTGTTAATTATTTACCTTGCCACTCATCAAGTGTATGTGTCAATTAACCAGGTTTGCCTCCCGACAGAGCCCATCTGCTCCTTCTTGCTTAAGCCAGCAATGAAGCCATAGCGCTGAAGATTTTTCTTGGCAATGGGTTACATCTCGAGCGAGACAATTGTTTTTGCACAGAACCTTTCCCTCCCCCCCAAAAAAAACCCAAAACCAAAACAACCCAACCCCAACCCCACAGATTTGGTTTAAATTTGGCATACTGAGAATAAAAAGTTTCAACTTTTCTTCATTTTGGAATTTCCCTCAATTTTAAACAGGATTTTAAAACTTTCAAAATCAAAACCAAACGTTATGGTTGGTATGACACAAACCTTTTTTTTCCAACATTTCAGTTTGGCAAAAATTTCAACACATTTTGGTTTCAGGTCAACCAAAAAACAATTTTTTTCAGACCTGCTCCTGAACCAAACATCTGGTTATTCACACAGCCCTAATTATACCATCGGTCTGGTTTTGAGATAGCAAGGCAGGATCAAACGGAAAATTTACACTGAGTGCTAAGAGAGAAAACCCCTGCTGAAAACACAAATACTAGCATTAATAGTATGGCAAGTACAACTGACCAGCCAATTGCTTTCTGCAGACCAGGGATTGGCAGTCAACTACAAGAGACAGCCGGTGACAATGCTGATACACTAGGGGTGTTTGCACTTTGCAGAACTCTTGCAGTTATTAATGAGACAGAACACTGCACTGTTTCAATGGATATATTTAGAAATGGACTCATAACTCATTCTTTCTAAATCTGTTTTTAAGCCTGACCACAAAATCTGTTTCCTCATCTAACCTGCTCATGTTGTTGTCTATAACTCTGCTTGATGTGTGTCACTGTTTGGTTACATATTTGACACCAATTCAGTCCAGTTTCCCTACTATACTATTAGAAAGTGGACAGTTCTGTGCATCATGTACTCAGTCACAGTGCTGGTCTACACTCCGACTAGGACATGCTAGTGACAGCCTGTTTGTTGTTTGCACATTTCAAGCAGAGTGTCTCGCATGGACAGAGAACTTTTTGTCTGAGAATTGGGATGTCAGAACCAGTGGTGGGTATATACAGTGATCTATAGGACAGTTTCATTGGCAGGGCTTAATAAACAAAAAAATCCTTGTCTTTGTCAGATAGAATCTTGCTAATAGAAAGCTATAATTACGTTTATACATCCTAACACGGGACTAATCGGCAAGGACAGGGCCAAATTCTAAGAATTTTCCTTTTTACACGGAGGTGCTTCTGTTCAGGAAATCTTTACAAATCAAAGTACCCAGATAAACACACTGAAACAAATGGTTATTTTTAAACAACTCACTTGCCAAAGTATAAGATTGTTTCTGGCTTAATGGCTCCATCCAGGTGGACATGAAGTTCTACCTGTAAAAAAAAAAGACAAACAACATTCATATAACTGTGAAAGTAATCTCTGGATCAGAAGATGCTACAAATACAGCCAGTGTGGTGGAGTCACAAGATGGGAGCTAAAAGAGAGAACTCAGAAAGCTACACAATATAGAAAAGATACTTGATACGTTATTTATTGAATGTCAGAAAATTGACAGAATTGGATTCATTGTTCTTCCCGGAGGTCACATTTTTAACATTCCTTTACACGCAAACTTTGTTTCCAGCAACCTTTACACTGCTCAGGAAATTGTCCTACTCATATTTGGTCCCCCAATATGTAGGGGCGGGAAGTGACATTTGCTTCTATCCTGCTCTATCTTGACAGTCATAATCTCTTAAACCCATAGCCCTCATCTGTACCCTTTCAGGAGTCTGATTTGTCTTGTGTACCCTCAAGTTTCACCTCACTTAAAAACTACTTGCTTACAAAATCAAATATAAAAATACAAAAGTGTCACAGTACACTATTACTGAAAAATTGCTTACTTTTTCATTTTTTACAATATAAATATAAAATAAATTAATTGGAATATAAATATTGTACTTACAATTCAGTGTACAGTGTATATAGAGTAGTATAAATAAGTCATTCTCTGTATGAAATTTTAATTTGTACTGACTTTGCCAGTGCTTTTTATGTAGCCTGTTGAAAAACTAAGCAAATATCTAGATGAGTTGATGTACCCCCGGCAGACCTCTGTGCACCCCCGGGGATACATGTACCCCTGCTTGAGAACCACTGCCTTAAATGCTGACTAATCCTGATTTCTGCTCGCTGAGAATGCCTTTCCATAAGCACCTCAGTTTCTCAACCAAAAGCTATTCTTGCTTTGATCACGTTTCAAAATGGTGTTTTAGTTTAGGCCCATTACATATGAGACAATAGCCCAAATCACCTTTAATTCTAAACCCCTGCTTGCTCACATTTTCAGAGAGAGAAATAATTATTGCCAGGAGCAAGACCTCTTGGAAGATGAAAGACTGGTACCTTTTCAACATTTGGTAGATGTTGCAAATTATTTAGGAGAAAGTTGGTAAACATGATTTGGAAAGCACAAAGTTAAGAGGAAAAAACCTTAATGATAAGATATTTAAGCAATATTTTGTGTGTGCAAATACAATTGTTCTGGGAACACTGGGAGAGAATGAGACTTGCAAAGGAAAATGGGTAGAAGTTCTCAAGTCCATCACAATTATCGAGGAAGAACGGGATGAGATATTATAATTAACTCCAGGCATGTGGAGAGGAGAGAGGCACAGCTTACATCTTTCTTTATAATAACTGTTCAGTGTCAACATACCAGTGCTTGGAAGCAAATGTAAACAAAGACTCTTCTGCACCATGGGCCTCCCACGGAGGCTGTTTCCCATATCTCCTGGGATCATGTTCTCCAAAACTGACTTTTTGGAAAGTGAAAAACATTGAACAGATTCATTTTATTGAAGATGTTGCCACATTTACTAAGTGGTTAAGGGAAGTTTCTCATCTTGTTGACTTGCACTGATGGGAGCTGTGCACGCAATCCTCTGCAATCTCAAGGAGAAAACGCCCCTCAGTTGTTTTTAAAATGTTATCCAAACCAAATGAATCATTTTTTAAAACCATAAACAGGCATTCAGCATGGAGATAAGTGAGGATAGTCATAGTATGAAGAGCACAAGACCTTGGTTATTACATGTATATTGTTGTCCAGGTCTTTCTGACAACTGCATGGATTGCAATGTACCTACCTTGAAACAAACAAAGAGACTCTCCTATGAGTAGAGACTTAAGAGATCTGGACTGTTCAGTTAGAGAAAAGATGAATAAGTAGTGACTTAAGAAAGATAAACAAAATAATGAATGGGACAGAGAAGGTAAATGAGGCACACCTGTTCGCTAGTTATCAAAAGGAGAGATGAGGACATTCAAAGAAATTTTAAAGGCAATAAATTTAAGACTTAGAATAAAAAAATTTAATGCAATGCAAATTTAACCTGTCGAACTCATGCTACAAGATATTGAACTCAAGAACTTAATAGGATTAAAAAAAAAAAAGACTGGACATTTATGTTGATAATGAGAATACCCACAGTTACATTAAATCCCATAAAAAAAGGAAGAGGTATAAATCCTCTTGGCGTCAGAGCATATGACAACCAATAACTGACAGGGGTTAGAAAGAAACTACCCCTACAGACACGTTATTCCTTAATCATTCCTTAACTGTCCACTTCAGGTCTACTTCTGACACAGCTGGTACTGAGCAAAGTAAAAAACAAGAACTCAACTAGCTGGACTACTAGTCCGATCTGGTAATTCATGCTACTCTAGGTCAAAGTAGTGGGTTTTGGAGTTTGCTCTGCTCATGCCCATCCTGCTGTCTTTCAGGAGTTCCAAATTTGTGGGCCAGTCACTAAGAAACAGGTGCCTCCTGCATATAGGGGTTGCCACCTGTCCAGGTTTTCCCAAGATTGTCCCTTTTTTGAGGGAGCTGTCCTTGGAAATCTCTAAGAGTGCTCGGTATGCACTGCCAGCTATCCCGTTTTGTAGGCTAAGGATCATCCCAGATGTCCCATTTTTTTCCACCTCAGAGGTGGCTACCCTATCTTCACATAAATCTAATGCAAGGTCCACAGTCCCATTGGAACGTGCCATTGCAGCAAGCCACAGTCACACAGAGAGCTTCGAGTGAGACTAAAACTTGGCATTTGAGCCAGTATTACATAAGGAGCCTGGGCAGATAGCAAAAACATTGGAATGATGGACTCTTGGTGGCCTGAGATGCTGGACAAACAGACTGCTCCATTCAAAACCAACTGGAGCTTTCAGTTATAGTCATCAAGCCTAGATGTCATGCATATATAACAACTTGGCTAAGTACGAAGCATTGTACATCATGGGTGAGGCTACGTTTTAGTCACAGGTATTTTTAGTAAAAGTCATCAACAGGTCACAGGCAGTAAACAAAAATTCACGGCCCGTGACCTGTCCATGAATTGTACTATATACCCCTAACTAAAACTTGGGCCGGGGGGAGGCTGCTAGTGCTGGGGAGAAGGTGGTCCACGACCCCTGCTGGTGCTGGTGGGGAGGGCTGGCGGTGGTGTGCGGCCCGGGACCCTTGCTGGTGCTGGGGGTATGGTAGGCTCCCTACCCGGCTCTGCGCAGCTCCCCTGAAGCAGCCAGCATATCCCTGCAGCCTCAGGATTACAAGCAATGTTTTTCTCTCTGCCCAGATTTGCAAACCCCTGAATGGGACTGGATCTAGTTACCTGAAACACCATCTCTCCAAAGACAGCTTTGCTCCACTAGATCAATGAAACCGTCGACCAACAGGAGACTCATGACTTCAGGAGGCAGAACTTTCATAGGAGCCAAACCAAGACTATGGAACTCACTGCCACATGACATGAAATTGAGCACTAGCCTCACAGCATTCAGATCTAAATACACAACAAACCTTTTTATTTCAACAGAGCTTTTCAGCAATAGCTCTCTCTCGTGTTCTGGCACTCATGCTTCTTTCATTTACTCTTTTAAAACACATACACACAACCTCTGCCAGCAGGCTTGGAAGAGATATCGTTTTTTATTCTAGGGAGGCATTCAGTTTCTATGGAGATGGATGCTAATACAAAAACCCATATAGACAAGGTCAAAACTTGGTCATTCACAGGCATGAGATTTTTACCCATACATGAATTATATGGTTCTAGTAATAAGGACAAGGCTACCTGAGTGGGACCCAGAATGGAATCAGCTGTGGGGGAAGATGGGCAGTAGAGGACAAGGGAAGCAATAGAAGGAGAAAGGTAGCAGCAGGGAAGAAGGGATGGGAGTCAAGGTGGAAGAAGTTAGCAAGAGGGACAGGAGTGAAGGATGTGGATGGAAGAAAGTGCAGCAGCAGGAGGGAGCTGTAGACTATGCAGAGCACAAAGTGATACAGGTCCTGGATCGGTCCTCCTCAAAATGTAAAAACTTGGCAAGTTTTGAATTCTTGGGCTTCAATTCCATACAATGACTGAGGCGTCACTCCTTGGGGGTTTTGGTGGCCGCACAACCCTTTGATGGGATTATAGGCTTGAGGCTCACAATCCATATTTATTCCACATTGTGCCATGTATAAAATCCTAGCAACGTGCAGCTACATGTTCCTACCTCATCTCAAACATTTCCTGCAAAAGCGACCCACAAGTGCAGTACTTTCATGGAAGTGACAGCAACATTAAGTAGCTTCCTTTAAATTGTGGGCCATCTGCCTCTACCCTCTGTTGCTATTGTAAACAAGACACTTGTAAACTGCAGGAGGAGAGTAACAAGGTTCCACTCCATGTCTCCGGGAGAGGGCTCTCTCCCCCTCAAATAGCTTGCGATAAAACAGGGATTATGAAATTGGGCGAGGAGCATCTGAGCAACTCCACCCAAGGTAGCGTGCAGCTTGCAAGGAAAATGCCCAGCACCATCAGGTTCCCAGGGCTGCAAGGAGCTACCCAAAGCTGACTGGAGCCTTTTCTATCCAAATGAAACGGACAAGTAGGGAACTGGATAAGCACAGGAGTTTCCACATTGTTTATCATGGCTGGTTACTTCTTTGTTTCACTCTGCCTCCTTAGGACTGGGGAGATGTACAGGGGTTTTATTTTGGGGGACACCATTCCCTTTCCCAGAAACTCTTCTGCCAGATGCTGTTGGTTCTTGAGGAGGTGGATGACCGTTACAAAGATCTAGCTGTTCTTCCACCCTATGCAGTCCAAACATCCAGTGATGTCTCATCCACCTTCACCACTGCTGGGGAACCTGGCCCTCATCCACTGGGTCCATCATTGGCTCTCGCTCATTATTCTGAGCGGGGTCCCTTATCAGGTACTACTTCAAACTTTGTATTGAAGGGCAAAGGGGTGCACACATTGACACCACCTGGCGCCGCCTGCAGGGCCACCCCAGAGATTTGTGGATTCACAGGATTGAACCAGATCTGGGAACTTCG